CCCCCCCCCCCCCCCCCCCCCCCCCCCCCGGCTATGGGCCTGCACAAGAAAGATATTAACTGTAAACCCACAGTTTGATCACCTGGCCCACAAAGGAATGTCTGTTTGAGAAACTTCAAGGATAGTTTTCATATTGAATTTAAGCATACCAGAGTAATGCAGGTACAGTTGCTTTGTGAAACTAGAAATTATGTCACAGCTGTCAGAGAGTAATATATATGTTCATTGTTTATGGTAGGCTTGGTGTGGACTTGGATAGCACTGTAGGGATATATAATATAGAATACCTGACAGCAGTGTGCGTGTCTCTCTCACATCACAAAGATTGTGGAGATAAAAATGGACACCCTAGACTAGATGGCATAAAGCTCAAACATGTGGACTGCATAATGATGGTTTAAAATTCTTTTGATTTATTTTTGCACTGTTGCATCCATTAGAATGAATTTTGCATTATAATGAGACTGGTACCCTGAGACGCAGCTTAATCAAATGGAAAATTTAAAAACTTGAGCTGCCTTTACCTGTTAGCTACTACATATCTTAAAATCTACATTACTGTGTTTGTGGTATGTACCTGGTATGCTGTATATGGACATGCTGCATGCATCTGTGCATACTGCTATATGCTTGTTAGTACAGCAAACATTCTGATTATAAAGCAAATTAAGATAAACCATTTCTAATGTAGTTTAATGCTCTTTTAATGCTTAATTAGTTGTGAGGAAAATATATGTTATTGTCTGTATTATTTTCTCACATATACCAGTCCTGTGGTTTCCGTTCCAGTCTCTTGTAAATAAACTTAAAATTTTGGTTAATGATGAATAGGTTCAGATAACTTGTCTGGTAGTTTCATCTTCAAAAACTGCACTTATTATCAAGATTTGAGATAGACATGACAAAAATGCATAATAATAAAGGCAAATGTCTTAGAGATGTCCAAGTTCCTGATCAATAAGGGTAGTTTATCCTTTATATTTATTCATAAGTCTTTTTTATGTATTCTGGTGGGAGATCATTCAACTGATCTCTACCCTTCTTTTTTGCACATGTCATGAAAATTCATAGCTCAGTATTTTCTGCTTAAGAAGGATTTTATTCATATGCCTCGATTATATAATTAGTGCTAACAAATTGCTAGAATTATTGAGATAAGATATTATGAAAAAATGATTAGTAAGACCATTAGTATCTATCATGCCATGAAAGCACTTCCCACCATAGAATTGCTGTAATTCTTTTAGATAAATGTTAATTTTAGTGCTATGGTTAAATATTGGTATATTCCTGTCATAAAATGAGGAAAAGAAAAAAAGTCGCTGTTCAGGGTTCAAACAAACCACATCAGTATATTATTGGGGATAAAGATAATTGGAATATGTGCATGTACTTAATGTGTATGTGTTAACAAAAATAATTTGTCATTTCAGTCTAATGTACAGATATACAACTGAATTAATCA